CATATCCGTTATCAGACGTTGGCGATCATGTTGGGCGATCCTGTTTTTATCAGCAGCCGCACGAAAAAGTGCTGCTGAGTTTTGTCCAAACCAGTCCCTTAGATTTTGAAGCCAAAATGTTCTTCTGCTGCCTGGACCTCGTTGGCCTTCAATCTTTCCCTGGAGGATTAAATGGAGTATGCCATATTTTTCTGGGTGTCCCATCACATGTCCAAAATATTCTAATTTTCGTTTTTTAATTGTTTTGATGATTTCCCTTGGCTTTCCCAGGCGGCTTATCACCTCCTCATTTCTGATCTTGTCAACCCAGCTTATACGTAACAGCCGCCTGTAGACCCACATTTCAAATGCTTCTAGTCTCTTCAGGTGGCCTTCTGTCAGAGACCAACTCTCTACTCCACAGAGCAGATTGAATCTGTTAAGTCCCAACCCAGCCGCCATGTGTTCTACCACCAAAGTACCACCCCTCCATTTCCTGCCTCTGCTTCTGCCCACGTCAAGCTTTTAGCTCTGCAAGATGCCTGTCTCCCACTCGTAAACTTTGGCTTCCTCCTGTCCCGCCGTGCCAATTTTCCTTACACCCTTGCAAGAATCTGGGCATGCACTCCAGCAAACTGTAGCGTGTTGTTTGGGGCTGAATGATTTGCATAGTCACTGTTGCAGCAAAAGTCAGTTCCCCACTTCCCTCCTGGATGTGCTGGCAGACTGAACAAGACACTGGCCTTGCTCTGGGCACGGGACCAACAGGAGAAAGGCTGCTTTGTTTGCCCAGTGCCCAGCAGTGTCAGAAACCGAGAACAGCCGAGATGCCCTGCTCCAGTAAGTCCCTGGACCAGAGAGAACCACAGCTTTGTAAAGAATATCGTGTGCATGCTGGCTGTTCCTCCTGCTGCTCAAACCAGCCCTCACCTGGGACATCTTTTGTTTGCACTTTCCATTCGAGGTGAGATGGGTGGTGATAAGGAAAGGACCTTATGGGGAGTGGTCTGATCCCATCTTTATGCATGCTCCATGTATTTCTTTTGAAGCTAACCAGGGTGAACGATTTAACCCAATTTTTCTTTCTTGGGAAGGCAAGCTGAGCTGTCAACTAATCGCTGCTCACAGAATGCATTAAGCTACACGAGGTTGGCTAATTGGCGTTTCATTATGTCAGTCACTCTTTAAAAGCACAGTTCAGCAAAGGTTTTGGCAAGGGTGACTAACGCACAGGTTCCTAATAGTAACGATTCATTATTGTGATGTGCTGGAAAGTTGGCTAGCAACTGACGGGTAATTACACAAAACAGAAGAAGGGAGAGATTGTCCAGCTTTCGTGCTCTGAAGACCATCCTTGAGTGTCAAAAAAAACCAACCCCAAAACAGAACAGGGATAGGATTCTTGATATCCTTTGGTGTTCTTGAGGACTAGGGGTGATATCATAGCGGTCTTCCAGTACTTGAGGGGCTGTCACAGAGAAGAGGGGGTCGACCTGTTCTCCAAAGCACCAAAGCAGGACGAGAAGGAACGGGTGGGAGATCATTAAAGAGACATCCAACCTAAAAGTAAGAAGAAATTTCCTGACAATGTGAACAATTAATTAATGGAGCGGCATGCCTCCAGAAATTGTGAGTGCTGCATCCCTGGAAGTTTTCAAGAAGAGACTGCACAGCCATTTGTCCTGAATGGCATAGGACCTCCTGCTTGAGCAGACTGGAAGACCTTCAAGGTCCCTTCCAACTCTGTTATTCTGTCTTCTATATTTGCTAAGTGAACATCCTCACATACCATGGTTTTCTGGTGGGAGATCCTTTATAGTTAGGGAGGAGGATGTTCTGACTCGGGAGTGCAGAAAGTAGGGTCTCCTGGTGTAGGTCAAAGCCCTTTTCATACAACAGGTTCGTTCTCTGTTTACTCAGGAGACAAAACCTTCAGCTGATCCTCCTGTTCAAGGTGGAAGATTTGCACCAAACAAGTTTTGATGGTGGTTGACAACTCCGGATCTGGGATGCTCCGTTCCCCAAATGTGAGTTTCTCTGCTTAAACTTGCCCTGGCATTATTAGTGTTGATGTTGTGTAATGCGTAGTGATCGTTAAAAATAACAGGAAATCTGTTCTGAGTTGATGTCAGGGATGTGGAATATAGATCCCAGAGGAGCCATCGAGGCTTCTCATAAATAATGGCACTGCTATAATCCAGCACTGGCCCTTCTGGATAGGCATGTCCAGAGTCAAAAGTAGTTACTCCCGTCTCAGCTTCCCACGGAAGGAATGATGATATGTTTGGGAGGGTTTGATCTCCAAAGCAAAGGCGTGGGCAGGTTGGAAGCCCTACTACTGCTTGTTCATGATTTCCAGGAAGAGCCTATGAAATAGGAACTAATGATCAACAGACAACAATTTCTCTGCCTGCAGGAAATCCCAGTTAGAAACTGGGACATTCCCAACCCAAAGGTCAGGAGCAGAGGGTGGGAAAGTCCTTCTACTTATAACCAGGAGATCTAGATCTAGATCTAGAATGACGGCAGAGAGAATACCGGGATACAAAACAAAACAAAACCTGGACATCAACATTTTGCAGATCAAAAGGCTTGAACACCTTTCTTTCCTCTCCACCCTCTGCAGGGTTTGCCATATGCCGAGCAGCATTTTCATGGTGGTGGAGAACATCCTTCACCTGCCTCAAGAGGATCCAGTTACACGTCTCCTCCACATCACCCAAGATCCGGAGTCTCTGCAGAAGCTCTGGATCTTAGGCGGGATGACTTTTTCCTGTCACACCTCCAGAAGAGCCCAACTATCCATAGTGGGAGTCTCCCCTCCCCTCGGGCCACGTCCACTCCGCAGAGTAAATGGAACCCCACCTATTACAGAGTGAGTCTGCCTGCCTTGAGGCAAGCTGATGGGAAGACGGGGGCCTGATGAGTTACTTGTGAAGATAGCTTGTTCTCCAAGAAGGTCAGGCCCTCAACAGCCCAGCATTCATGCCCAGGTGTTCCAAACCAGCCGTGACAATGTCAAAACGATGGTGCATGTCATCTTACCCATTGCCCTGCTCTGTGTAATAATGTTGTAAAGCCTGATTGCAAGTAGATGAATCACACCGTCTGTGTGATTGTCATCGCGTACATTTTGTCATCTCCCCATTTCCTCTCAGTAACTGACTGGTTTTATTTGTTTAACTCAGGGATCTTCCAACTTGGCCCTTTTATGACGTGTGGACTTCAACTCCCAGAATTCCTCAGCCAGGCCTGGCTGAGGAATTCTGGGAGTTGAAGTCCACACGTCATAAAACGGCCACGTTTGAAGACCCCCTGCCGTAGGCTTTCAAGAGCTCAGTGCGACCTTGGGCCTCAATTTTTGGAAGAATTACTAAAAAAATTTACACTGGTAAATTGGAATTAAAGTCTTGTTGTTCTGAAAGAAAAAAACAATGGAATAAATGTTCCCTCTCGCAAGATGATAAGAATAAAAGCATTTTACTCATCTTCAGCCGGAGGAACTTTCCTCGTGTAAAAAGGTATATACAATAGAGGCAGAAGGCGTGCCTCAGATTGTGATTAGTAATGTTCCTGTGATTCACAATTGAGCAACAGCAAATATGTTCCCCTTTTGACAACGGAGAGTTTTTTGAAAGAGAGCAGAAGTTGGCTTACTCATGGATGATCCTTTTTTGTATCTTTTCCTGTATAAAGATCCCTGTGATTCGCAACTGTGGGTCTAACACCCTCAATTTTGAATTCCACGATACCAGTCCCCGCCAAGTGTACAACGGGATATCCCAGCCGTGGAAAACAACTCAGCAGAGTTCAGGTAACTCCAGCCAAGAATGGAAGTGATAAAAGATTTCCTTGGCAAGCAGCACAGAACACTTTGTAGTCCTTGCTGTCTTATCTTCCTGTTATCCGTTTGTGTTTGGTCTTTTAAGTTTAAATGCAACTAGACCCACTTCTAAAGCTTCAGCTAGCTTTGTGGTCCTCCTGTTGGGGGGAAGAGCTGAGACCCTTTGATGGTCCTTTTTTGACAGGAGACCTTTGAGTAAAAGGCAGGGTTTAAATTCAGCAACATGTCTAAAGCCAACATTCCCATTTTCTCTCTTATCATCCCTGCTTCCCTTTTAGGGAGTAATTAGATGGGATAAAATGTCGATATCTCCAACGCACCCTTGATGTGGATGGAAAAGAGCAAATGCTTATGCTGGCCTTGGGGTTTTTTTTAATTTTTTTTCATTTTTCATTTTTCCAATTTACAAAATGATAAACATTTTTCTTTTTTTTAACAGTACTGTGTCATGTATCTCTTACAGTTATTTGCATTTATTGCTATACATTTTTATTTCTCTGCTCTAACCAATTACACCACTTATCCCATACCTCATAAAATTCTGTTTCTTCCTTGCCTTTCATTTCTAGCGTAAGCTTATACATCTCGGCACATTCTAATATCTAATGATAATCATATCATTAGCTGGTATATTTTCAAAGTTTCCAGCATTGCGCATAGACAATAGGTGCTGCTGTTACTATGTGTACAATAATATATCGGAGTTGCTTCTTTATCTTTTGATTTATTATTCCTAATAAAAATAATTCAGCTTTAAATTCAATTTGTTCTTCTGTTATCTCCTGTAGCCATCTCCTTATCTGTTCCCAGTATTTCCTTAGGGGTTTGTTGTTTTTTTTAATGGAAAGGACATGAAATACACAGCAGAGTTAGTCCTTGACTTACAACAGTTCGTTTAGTGACTGTTGAAAGTTGCAACGGCACTGAAAAAAAGTGACTTAGGATCATTTTTCATATTGCGGCACCCCCCGTGGTCATGTGATCAAAATTCAGATGCTTGGCAACGGGTTCATATTTATGACGGTCGCCGTGTCCTGGGGTCACCTCTTGCGACCTTCTGGCAACGGGGAAGCCAAACTCACAAAGGTGTGACTAATTTAACAACTGCAGTGATTCACTTAACCACTGGGGCAAGAAAGGCTGTAAAATGGGGCAAAAATCACTGAGCAATGGTCTCACTTAGCCACAGAAATTTTGGTCTCCATTGTGGTCGTACGTTGAGGACCACCTGTGCTTGGAAATCATGACACGAATTCTTACCATAATCTATAATTTTAGCAGTGATGTGCAGAACAGAACCAGCGGCCCCATCGGAAATAGTCACTAGAACTTCTTTTGGGCTAGTGGTCCATGTACCGCTTAATCCGTTTCCATGATAATTCAGGCCACCTTAAATGATTTTTAAAGCCAACCCAGGTAAAATTGCCAAATAATGTTTTTGGAATCTTATCTGGGAACTGCAGCAATTTGATTGTTCTAAAGCAGGGGTCTCAAACTCAGTTTCATTGAGGGCCGCATCAGCATTGCGGTTGCCCTCGGGGGGGGGATGTGTGGCCATGGTGGGTGCGGCCTACTGGGTGGGCGTGGATGGAGTGGGTGTGACCTACTGCGTAGGCATGGCCAGCTCTACATCGTTTGCATCAAGGGTGCCTGTGGGGGGCTTGGCAGGAGTGGGACAGATCTGAGGGTCTCTGGCAGAAGGGGCTGGGACCAGGGCAAGCGCCAAGGCATGGTCCATTTCTTCATTCCCCACAAAGGGTGACATCTCCCCAGCATGCACCCAGGGGACGGAGCCGACCCGGCAGGGTCTGGTTCCTTGCCGTTTCCAGACGGCCTTGTGGAGCTAAGACTGAATGCATTTCAGCATAGATGGCCACCGCAAAATTGTACATTGGCTCCCGGCCGGCCTAGGCTAGGGCCAAGGCAGTGGGGGCCGTTCCCTCACTGTTTCCAGGATGGCTTCGCGGGCCACATGAAACCACGTCGCGGGCCGCATCCGCCCCCCGGGCCTTGTGTTTGACATGTCTGTTCTAAAGGTAGCATTAGGAGAGTCAGTGGAGACAGGGATAGGACATGATGCTCTGCTGGATCTTCCTCTCATTATGATCTGACTGTATCTCTCGGCAGCGAATAATTGGTACCCAACCTGGCCTGCTAAAGAAATTAAACCACTGAGAACTGAAGCTGCTCCTTCTCCTTACTTGGCTAATTCAGTCAATCACCCAACTGCGAATGGCGTAGCACAACCGGGCTGGTCAGCGACCTGGACAAAAGATGGCAAGAGGAAGGAGAAGCGCTGGGTGAAGTACGATGGGATCGGGCCAGTGGATGAGTCTGGGATGCCTCTTGCTTCTCGATCGGTGAGTCCTCAGAGTAATTGTAAGCAGGATGGAGGAATCCACTTTTCAGTCTCCTTCTTCTCTGGAAGAGAGCATTGTGGAGCTCAGGGTTGAACTGTTCATCATGTAAATGAATTCATAGCGGGGTCTAAGACAATTCGCCATGGCCAACTCATCATGGCCAACTCGCCATGGCCAACTCACTGTGGGACAATTTGCTGTGGGACAAGAGTTATACTAATGTCAAAGAAATGGTGAAGTGGAATAACTCAAGAAAGGATGCAAAAGGAGGGACAGAATGAAATGTGAATGAGAAAAAATTAAAATTATTTATTTTGAATAATTACATTGAATTGTTAAATTGTCCCGCATCGAGTTGTCCCATGGCAAGTTAGCCATGGCGAGTTGTCCCACAGCAGGTTTGGCAGTTGTCCCATTCTGTTCAGAGTGTGCCTTCAGAACCACAAGGCCAGGGGTAGGCAACCTCGGCTCTTTTATGACTCGTGGACTTCAATTCCCAGAATTCCTGAGCCAGCCATGCTGAGGGGAAAGGGAAAGGTTTCCAAGCTGAGCCATGCTGGCTCAGGAATTCTGGGAGTTGTAGTCCACGAGTCATAAAAGAGCCAAGGTTGCCTACCCTGTCCTAAGTCCTCCTGTTCTAAGCGGTGTGTTCTGTCCCCGTCTGACACACACACCCAAACAGCCAGCCGAGGGTTAAATAACTTCTCCACACTCCACGCCACAGATAAGAAACTTGGCAGCAGCTCCGTACCTGCCTGCCAAGAACTTTTACTCAGAGAACACAGAAACAAAAAACAATACACACAGTTTGAAATTCAATCCACAGCAAACTACTTCGCCAGAGATTTAGCTTCGTCTGTCACAGAGTCCAAATGGCCACCACCTCCCTTTTATAGCCTGTGAGGTGTGGTCCAGTGACTCAGCTTAATCTCTGGCACGTCTCCTTTTCTGCTGTGCATGCTTGTCACACCTACGCTGGCGTGGATCCAGCCACAACGTATCTTCATCACTATCCGAAACACCTGGCTCCTGGCCAATCTCAGAAACACCTGGCTCCTGGTCAATCTCTTCTCCGTCGGGAGACACCTGAGGCCTTGCCAGAGAGGAGGGTCCTGGAGAGGGAGGCCTGGCCATCTCCTCTCCTTCATGTTCGGAGCCTTCTTCCTCCGATAAGAGGGGCTCACAAGACGGAGCCACAACACGGTGAGCCTCCTAGACCAGGGGTAGGCAACCTTGGCTCTTTTATGACTCATGGACTTCAACTCCCAGAATTCCTGAGCCAGCCATGCTGAGGTGAAAGGGAGAGGTTTCCAAGCTGAGCCATGCTGGCTCAGGAATTCTGGGAGTTGTAGTCCATGAGTCATAAAAGAGCCAAGGTTGCCTACCCCTGCAGTGCGATGCTTTTTCCCCTTTGTTTTTGACAGATAACATTTCTGTTTGATACTGCAGTCAATGCTATGAAGAGTATAGATTGGTCTAAATATATAAAGTTATCTATGTCTAATTGGTCAAAATTGGTGCAATGCGTATATTTTTTGGTACCAATAGGAGAGAATATTTTCAGCTCTGGATTGAATTGAACAGTCTTTGGGGCTGTCTGGGCCAGGTTATTTGCTTGCAGACATTTCATTACCCAACTAGGTAATACCATCAATGCTAATGAATGTAGGGTTTGCTCCCTCTTTATATACAGTTGCTTGCCCTGCCAGTGTTGGTGAGGGCACAGCGTATTCCTTGGTGGTCCCTTAACTATTGTTTACTGCCTGACTGTTTGTTTGATGGTTTGTCTCCTTTGAATGCGCTTCAAGGTGTTGATTATCATCTTCAAAGCGCACCATGGCATTGGACCTGGTTACCTCCGAGACCGCCTTCTGCCACAGATCACCTCCCACCGGCCGATACGCTCCCACAGAGAGGGCCTCCTCAGGGTGCCGTCAACCAGACAGTGTCGGCTGGCGACCCCCAGGGGGAGAGCCTTCTCTGTCGGAGCGCCCACCCTCTGGAACGAGCTGCCCCCAGAGATCCGGGTGATTCCGGATCTCCCCTCCTTCCGCCGCGCCCTCAAGACTTGGTTATTTCAGCGGGCAGGACTGGCCTAGGGGTATTTTAAATTGGTTTTAACAAAATTTTTAGTAGAAGCGG